GAAGAAGAAGAAGAGGAGGAGGAGGAGGAGGAGGAGGAGGTCTTCATTGTTATGTGACCTTAGTCTGAAGTAACTGTTAACTGACCATCCAGCGGGTTTCTGAGGAAACCTGTTTTCGCAGGATGAAATTGCCCATCTGTCTCCTGTGAAGCTGCTAGTAGATTCGAATGGGCTGCCTTTTGGGTTGGCAGCACAACTCCTTATCCACTCGGCCAGCAGTTCCTCCGTAGCCAGTGTTCTCTCTTCTTTATTGAGCCAAGTTTCCACTAATGCCCTGGCACATACAGATGATGAAGATCCTACCTCCGCCCCAGGAGAGCTAAAGATCTTTCATTGTAAACTAAACCTGGAGGTGTAAGGAGTTAACATTTTCCCCAGATAGGCTAAGATTTCTCTAAGAAAGCGCCCTTGGCTGGTTCCTGTGTTCTTGTGGGCTAATGATCTAGAGGTCAGATTGCATCTAATCTCCACTAGGAAGAAACCAGATTTGAGTCTTGGCCATGGGTCCGAGGGCATCAGTAAACCCTATTGGTGAACCGTCCAAGACGCAGTTTTGATCTAAAACGCGGGAAGCTGGGAACATACCCTGGTCTTTGAAGTGATGGAGAAGGAGTTTGAAGAGCTGTAGACTACTGGGCCCACCAAGTCCTCCAAGTGAGCAGCTCCTTGGTGCTGCTAGGGCCTGGGTGAGGATACGCATGCTTTCCTCACCTGCGGGACTTGGAGAGCGGCCAGGCTGGCGCCTCGGTCCAGGTGGCGAGGAGACTTCCACAGGGGCCCAGCAGGAGCAAGGAGCCCAGGGCCGAGGACCGCGGCTGAGCTATCGCGCAAGGGAGTGAGAGGAGGAAACTTTGCGTGCTCGGGGGTCACAGCAGCAGAGGGGCGCATCCGCAGCCCTGGCGAGGTGGGCCGCGCAGCTGGGCTCGGAGAGGGAGCGCCACGGCCCCGCCACGGGACGCGCTCCCAGCCCCCCTCCCTGAGCACCCCACCCCCTTCCCTCCGCCGTGCTCGCAGCGCCGCGGCCCCGCTCAGAGCCGCTGGATCCGCCCGAACGAAGCGGGGCCCGACTCGCACACAGGACTCCGGGCCCATCCTCCGAAAGGCGTCTGGCATTCCTCTTTCTGGAGAAGCAAGGCGGGCAGGCGGGACGTCCTGACAAGGCTGGGCGCCCACGGCCACGTCCCAGCCGGGCCCCGGCGCGCAGAGGAGCGTAGCCGGGGAACAGCGCTCGCTCAGGCTCCCTCCTGCGCGCGCCGGAGCCCGGGGCGGCCGCTCGGGCTGCAGCCTCGTGGGCTGCCGCTTCTCCGGCCCAAGCTTCAGCGGGCGCTCGGCAACTTCATCTCGCTGCTGCCTCGGGGAACTAACTCGCCCGGCAGGTAAGGAAAGCTGCCAGTTCCTGGGATCCGGCTCGGCGGGCGTGTTTCTAAAAGTTGATTTGAAATGCATCCAAGAGTGAGCGGGGCCAGCCGCGGCTCCTCCCCGAGGCGACTCTTTGCTCCGCAGACGTTCCGACCCCGGCCGAGCGCGCCGGGCGGACCTCCCAGCGCGCCCCCGCACGCCCCGCCGAGCGCCGCCCTGCTGAGCGCACGCTCCGAGTCCCAAAGCCGGCGGGACACTCTTTGGGTCGCTTTCCCTGTCCCTCCCCGGCCGGGACAGGTGAGGGCTGTCACTTGGATGCCCGGGGCGCGCGGGTTACGGACTCTGGTCCCCTGTGCTTAGCCCAGCGAGGAATACCGCTTACTTCTTTTAGCCCCTTCGTGTCCCAGTGGCGGTGTTCCTGCAGTGGCGTCCCTGGGGCCCTGCCTAGTGGAGGTTGGGGCGGAGTCGGACTCTGGATAGGAAACCTGGGGACAGGGGGCAGAGGGGGTGGGGTGGGGAAGGAGAACGCAGTTGGGGGGCGGAGGCCTGAGTACATAACGCGTTGACTTCGAGTGAAATCAGATCAGTCGGAGCTGTTCTCAGTGACTTGTCTCCTCTCCCCCACCTCGCGTTTCTCTTGGCTGGACTCAACTCTCCAGGCTCGTTCTGGGCGCCCTGGACACTCCCTTTGTCCTTTCCCAGGAGTGCGGCGGCTTCGGGTGCCGCGTCCCCGCGGGCACGGACGCCAGACGCGGCGTTTCCTCTCTTCGGCAGGTCCACGCAGCCGGGCCCGACCATGCTGGACGGCCTGAAGATGGAGGAGAACTTCCAAAGCGCCATCGAGACCTCGGCCCCCTTCTCCTCGCTTTTGGGTGAGCGTTCAGGCCGTGCGCCCCGGGCGCACTCTCTCTGTGCCAAGCCTTAGGCCTGGGGGAGCTCAGCTCCCCGGAAACCGGTTGGCGGTCGCACAACTAGCGTTTCTTCGCTTCGTGCATTGAGTTGAGCCCACTTTATGCACGTCTGTTTGTCCATCCGCCCTTAGCTTATCACCTCTACCCCAAACCAACAAGTCACCCACCCTGGCCTCACGTGCCCGGCAGGCACCCAGTTCCCCAAAGCCACTAGGGGCGGGGGCACTTGTGTGCTGGCGTCTGGGTGACACATGATTAAAAATACCCAAGACTGAGTTTTTAATCACAAAACTGATGGACGTCTCATAAACGGAACCCTCTGCTTGGCGGCCTCCGGGCGGGAATCCGAGACCCGAGGTCTGGAGCGTCCAAGTTCGAAGCGGTTTATCGCCCCTTCCAACTCCAGCCCCAGTTTCAGCTTCAGGCCGATAGGCTTTTCCGGGCCGGTGGGCAGCGAAGCTCGGGGATTAGCCCCCGCGGCGGGGCCCTCGTCTCAGTTTTAATTAACTCAAGTCGGATCCTGGGTCCGGCGGGGTCCCCCGCCCCCCAGTCCTTCTCAGTGACTGAGGTTATCGAGGAGCCACTGGCCCCGGCAGAGCGTCCACACGCAGGTCTCCCATAGTCAAAACCAAGGTTTATTGCTGGGAGAGTTTTCCCCTTCCTGGTATTGACAAGCCTGAGGAGGAAGGGTATTTAATTTTTCTTTAATTTTCTTTTTGAGAGGGTTTTCGTTTTGTCATGTAAAGCGCTTGTCTGTCTGCTTTAATCAGAACCGCTAGAGCTGCACTGAGGGCAGGAGACATTCAATACCAGGAGAGCAATTTCCCACCCTTTATCCTAGAAGAAACGAAGCATCCTGCGCTCCCAGTTTTCAGCCGGGGTTTCAGAAAAGGCCCGACCCAGTCCATTCCCAGCAGGGAGTGAGAGACAGTGTAGTCCCTGCCCTAGGAGCCCAGGGCTCACCAACTCTCGCAGGAGAGATTGCGGGAGTCCGGCGTCCTCACCTATCACGCAGGTGGAGAGCAAGAGCGCAGACCTACTGGGCAGAAAGGAGTGGGAATTTTTAAAACGAGAACAATCTCTCTCAGCTTTCTGAGCCACACTCCCTGCTAGCCTCCCAAAGCCTCCAGCCACACGCAGAGGTGCCTGACCTCTGATAGGGGCGCAACTCAGAAATAGAGGAGGGATGGGACCCGTGGGAAACCCGCTCGCTCAAGAATGCAGTTAAGCGCACCAGGTCTTCCTTGAAGGGTTCTGAAGCGCACCAGCGCCAAGGCCACTCTCAAAACAAAACAGGAACAAACAAAAGCTAAACAAGTCTTCCTCAAACTGAAGAACCGTATCGGAGCAAAAATCCAAGCAGTAAGACGGCAGATTCCCTTTCTGCCCTGAGTTCCTTTGGGATCTTTTTTTTTTTTTTTCGTTACCCCGCAGGGCTGAGCTTGCCTGAGGTGACGTCCTCCTGCGATTCTCTGCGGACTCGCTGCGGGGCACCTTGGACATTTCTCCTTTCAGTTACCTTGACATCTTTAAATTACGGGGGTGGGGGGAGACCTCAGCCCCCAAACCTCGTTTGCAATCCCACTAGTGAAAACACAGCACTTTGAAGTTCACTCGTTTGAACAACACTGGGATTGTATTATATATATATATATATATATTTATCATGATATTTTGTAGGAAGAATTTATTTTCCCCTAAATTACCTCGTAAAAGAATAGAACAAAATTAAATTTTAACAAAAGGGAGAAAAAGACTTGCTATTCACTTGCATTTTTAAAAATACTCAATAGATTAAAGTATAGTGAGTAGTTTTTAATTCCTGTATGATAAGTCCGGGAGCGCAATTTCTTTGTAGTTTAATCACACAAAATGCGCACGTTTGCGCGCTTACCTGGGTCGGCTTGACACTTAAAGGTCCCTTATTGATTTCGACGCCCACCCCCAACAGGGCGGAAACCTTTCCGGCAAGCAAAATCCCCACTTATTGGAAGCGTCACTAGGATGATTTTCACCCCCGCTCCCCACGTCTTGTCTGGGTTGATTACCAGGAGACAGTTCCCTCGGGTAGAAAGGGGGCAGCATAGCCAGCGGGGGCTGCGGTCTGTGGGTGTCAAGGGACCCGGATCGGGTCGAGCCGGGCCTGGCGGGAATTCGGGGACGATTCATCTCACCAGCGAACGTCTGTTTCGGCTGCAGGCAGAGCGGTGAGCCCCAAGTCTGTCTGCGAGGGCTGTCAGCGGGTCATCTCGGACAGGTTTCTGCTGCGTCTCAACGACAGCTTCTGGCATGAACAGTGTGTGCAGTGCGCCTCCTGCAAAGAGCCCCTGGAGACGACTTGCTTCTATCGGGACAAGAAGCTCTACTGCAAGTATGACTACGAGAAGTAAGTGGCTCGCCGCCCCGGCGTGATCCCACGCACCGGTGACTTTTATCCTCCGAACCCACATCCGCTTTGGGAAGACGCTAGAGGCTAGAGGCACCCACACATTCCCAGAGGAGCCGAGGGCCCCTCGGCTCCACCCGAAAGGCCGCAGGAAATCGCGTCGGTGCGCTCAGCCAAGGCCGGGGCGCTCAGACGTGTGCGCCATCGCTGCCCTCAGATGGTCGGCCTGTATAGTTTTCAGTCCTCTCAGGCCCCTTATTCTACTCGGTGATCCCTAGAGGACACTCCTCTGGCGGGCTCTGATGCTATCAAGCTGCGTTCTCAGCTCCCTGGAGGGCCCAGTAAGGTGACCATGGCCCATGCTTCTCTCTTGCGCGCGCACGTGTGCGGAACGTGAGGCCCTATCGATCCCATGGCTTTGGTCCCCTGCGCAGCCTGGCCCGGGTGTCCATGGGTGGGCTTGGAAACGGCGCCTCTGAGCCTCCCTTGGAGCTCGTGCCCACCAGTTTTGCCCTCCTATCCTCTGCAAAGCAGGGCGACGTCCCTCACCCTCAGCTTTCTAAAGCCCTCGTGGGACGGGGCTGTTGAGCCAGAAATTGGGGTCTGATCCGGAGCCCCCTCCTTCATCCTGCTCCTCCTCCCAATTCCCTTCAGACTATGCCTCTCGGCAGGTTCGTTTCTTTTCTGTCGACTTGGTAGGTTTTGACAAAAATTGCGAGACAAGTGTGACAGCTATTTAAGAAAGTAAGTCAAAGCTCTTTCGAATCTAGATTTTTGTAAGTCGTAAAGCCAGCGTGAGGCGTGGGACCGCAGTTGAAGGGATTTCTTAGCTCTCAGCACCCCTCAGGCAAGGCATCAGAATATAGGGAGAGGGAACCACCTTTCCTTTCCAAAATGGCTCATTCGTAGACCTGAGCTTCTGGGGGCTGTGGAGGATGTAGGGAAGAGAAGGGGCGGAAAGGAAAGCCTCTCTGTTTGTAAACTGGGATTGGCGTAAGTGACTGCGCGCGGTCGCCAGGGGAATTTGTCACTGTTGAGGGGAAGGGGCAGCCCTGGGCAAGGGTAATGATGGGAGGGTTAGTGTGGAAAGCAGCTCATTACATGTTTTTAAAAATGCCCTATACCAGGGAGATATCTCAAACAACAGAAAACATTGAAAGAAAATAAACAACATTTCTTCTTTGCATGTTGCCTGAATTTTTAAGCAAAACTGGTGAAGCAATTAGACCTATTTAGTCATACACAACACCTCCCCCCTCCCCCCAGCCAGAGAATGTGGAAAGAATAATGGACATTTCCCCCCCCCCCATTGATGCTTTGAATAGATAACAATGACAATAAGCTTTCTCAAATGTGAGAAAATAAATGCAAATGTTTTAAAATAGTCTTCACTTAATTGTGGTGAAAACTCCCCATAACCGCTGCACAGAGTGGTAACTATTGTTAACGTTTGTGGAAAGAGCCTGTGCTTGTTTCCCTTCTTGGTTGTTAGTTGATTGCAAACAATATCTGCGTGAAAGCTGCAATTTTTGGTAAACTGCAATTTCAATTTACAAAAATTGCAGCTTTCACCCCGACATCTTCAAGTATCTCCTTTTGACAAAGCTTTTTGGTTGTGTGATTTTTGTCCCTCTTGTCTCTCATAGAAAGGTTTTGATATGGTGTGAAGTCAACCTTTGTCTTTCTGCTTATAGATTACTGCACACATCCTTCAGGCTGAACACTAGCAAGTTTAAAGATAGTGGAGCTTAGGAAAGGATTTGGGTTGTGAATTTCTATTCTGTTTGTTAAAAAAAAAATAATCACAAATCAAAGAAGGCTTAAGGGTCAACACAGCTGTCTGGCTGGTCAAATCTTCTTTAAGGAAGTCAGACTGCGTCAAGGGGAGAAGAAACAGTTGTAAAGTATTTAACACAACAATGTCCTTCCATTTCAGCCCCCTTCAGGTTCTCGGAGGTTTGGGCTTATTAGCTCCTGAGGGTCAGTTCTCCCGCTCCCAAAGCTATTTCTGCACAGGGAAAATTATAGGGATCAACTTGCCAGCTGTTGGCCAGCACTGGGAAGACTTTATAAAAAGATGTACAATGGTCTGAGAGGTTATTGCTGTTACAAAGGTTTATTTTTTAATTTTTATGTATTTTGTGGAAACGTGCATGTCCAGAATGGAATTCATCCTATTCTAGCTTATGGCTTACTGTCAGCACTGGCTTGTGTTCATCCCATTAGTTTTGGTTTGTTTTTTTTTGTTGTTTTTGTTTTTAAGATTAATTTTGCTCCATTCTCCCTCCTCTATCCTCTCTCCCAAGTTATTCTTCCAGCAAAACAGAGTTTTAATATATTTAATATTCTCAATAGTATTCATCTGCCTGGTAATGGCTGTAAGAGAGAAAGGAGAGGGCTTAGTTTGTTTTTAATTAGACTCAGAACTGTCCTTTAAGCCTAATGAGTTTTCACTGGCCTAGAAGATGAGCAGCAAGCTTCAGGCTTGCCTTCAGGAGGCCTCAAGCCTAGTGTCTTTGCCATCTGTGTTACCAGAACCAAAACAGAAAATTTTTCATAGCCCTCTACTGCTCGGAGTGCAGGAGAGGTATTAGATGTCTAGAGCTTTATCCTCCAAGGTGCAACTCACTGTTAGGCAGGAACAATGAAACAAAATATAAGGAGGAAGACTGAGGCAGATATTATTATTATTATAGGGTACTTTTTTTCGCTAGCATGTATGTTTATAGAAATTGTGCACTTTGGTGGATCTTTTTTTAAAAACTTGAGACAAAAACATGATAAATAAAGAGGGAATGGTACTAAAATGAGAGAGCAAAGATGATAATTAAATATATAGAACAGTTAATAGTAGTAAGAATGTGTAGGCACTACTCTTGTTTTCAGAACTACAAAAGTTGAATTAGTAGTTCTATACATTCAGATGGAAGGCCATGAAGCTAATGAGCAATCTTCTGCAAAGATCACAAACATAACTTTCACAGAGAGGGGCCATTGTGTTCATTGCACCCTTGGGATGTGCAGTTCAGGCTAATGTGCAGCTAGCATTTGAATTTCTAGTTATGAAGCTGAGATATCAAGCAGTCTAATAAAATGTGAAAATTCTGGTGTTTTAAAAACAGTAAAACCAATGAAAGCCAGAACCTGTATGAGATGGAAACCTGCGAGAGATTTTCATTAATGTGATAGAAAAGTGGAAAGAGTGCATTCTATCAAAGGCAGAAAATTTCTGCACATGGAAAAACAAATCAGTCTTGTTGAGTCGTAACTCTCACAGGTTGTTTCTGTGCCTTTGGGGCAGCCTCACCATGTGCAACTCCAACTTTGTCTGTTTTTTTTAAAAAAAAAATTAAAAAAATCGAATCACAGACACATAGCCATTTATTTGAGGACTTCTGGGATGTGTTAGTCGGTGTTTGTCTCATCTACTCTAACAGTCTTGGGAATAATTTGTCTTCTGATCGCCCAGAACAAATAAACCTTTTAAGACTGAAGCATAGAAAACTGATTTATGAACATCCAGAATTAAGAACTGGAGCAGACCTTCATTATCCATGAAATGTTGTCAAAGAAAACGAACTGTGTAATGGTAGCCTTTTAAAAGCTGATGAAGCTGTACTAAAATATAATGAGATGCTATAGGTGAAGGTATTTCAAAACAGTGTTTCAGTGTTCCTGAAAATTTGCAGACAACCAAAATGGTGTGTTTCCCAGCCCAGGGAACTTCTGTGTATGTCACTGCTGTTGCTTTTTTTGCGAGTCCTCTGTGATCTGCTTACTTTAGAGTCTTCCCTGAATTTGTTCCAAACAGATATTGTAGTTGGAATATGTTTGAGACAGAAGAGGCTGCTGAATAACAGGAATGTGGTAATACAATAGATAATTAAGGCTTCTGGAAGGGATCCCACATTTAAATCAAATTTATATTGTTTCTTTCATGTGCCTGGCGGTTGGGTGCTTCAGGCGGGGCCCTCTCCCATCACAAATGAAGCTTATCATTATCCCTGAGATTGTTCTGGACATCCTAGGAGCAGTGTGGGATAGTATTGCTGTCATCAAGGCTGTTCTCACAACATCATAACTCCCCACATGTCAGCAAATCTCAGGCCTTGGGAAACCTCCCTCAGAGGGCTGCTCTGTGTTTTCTCCCCTTTCCCTTTCTTTTGGAGCAGACCAAATTTTGGAAGAAAGGGATTGAAGTGAGGGCATAGGGGATATTTCACACAAACCTTTCTCTGTGTCTTTTGTACTGCTGATTGGCAGCCCTTGGTGAAAATGGCTGAGGTAATGAACTCTATTAGGATCTGTCATGAACTAATGCTGTATTTTATCAGGACAGTGTAGGATGTCTGAGCACAGGGAGGAGAGCAAGTTTGGTTTCATTACGAGGCATTACTTGGAGATCAACATTGGGAAAACAATTGCTCATAAGAGGAGCTGGCAACATGGAATCATAGAGGCAATTGTTTGATTTCACATTCCTTTATCTTTTATTGGCACTGCTCCTGGCACAATAAAACTTAAGGATGATATGGAAAAAAAATTAGACACAGCTAGGTAACAAATGGATCTCTGCCTCAAATTGCAGGAGGCAGAATAAGTACAGTGCCTGGACTGTGGCTGTGCTTGTGGAGAAAGACCGACCTCGTTCTCTGTTTCTCTGTCTTTTGTTTTAAGGAGTGATTGGAAACGTTCCTAGCACAGAGGTGTTTTCAGGCATTCTCTCTCCATCCTGGGGTAGGGCTTTCTTGGAATCTTAAGCGTAAGATTTAGAGATAAAATTAGACAGCAAGAATAGGTTATTAATGGAATTCCCTGGGTTTAGATATAGAAATTTCTATTTAGAATGGGCTTGATAATTCTTTCAATCTTTATGCTTATGAAACATGTTAAAAATTATTTGTGCATCTAGTGTTATGTACTGTGATGTCCCCAAGGTTCCTGGCATGCACCTGGTTAGGAAGTAATTTCTTGCCTCAGGTCTCAGTGATGAGAAATAG